CGCGTAGCCACTTCATATCAGAATTTCTCGTTCTTAAAAGATATCTATAAGTATATACACACAGGTATACCATAAGATCATTTTTGACACGTTGACGCGTTGACGCGTAGCCACTTCATATCAGAATTTCTCGTTCTTAAAAGATATCTATAAGTACGATAAGTATGTACACACAGGTATGCCGAGAGATCATTTTTGACGCGTAGCTGATATCAAATCATAGCTAGGGTGCTTTTTTATGCGGGGTATTCTATAGTTACTCCCACGAAATCAATAGTTTTTCAAATAATTGTTTATTACTCTTTCTGTATGGATTGTTCTGTTGTTTGAAATTTCTCTCTACTTTGACTCTACGTTAATAAAGTGTTTTAATTGCATAGGAAAAATCAACAAAGCTGTTTTAAAAAGCTTTTAAATAAAATAATAACAAAGTCGCTTAACCTCTTCATAATTACGTGAATCCCTGATGTCCCAGCAGTGTAACTGTTCACTGTTCGATTAACAGTCGATAACGAAGAGAACACTTATGRCTCCCGGGAGGTCGAACAGTCGACAAAGTAAGTATTACAAAACAAGCGAAATATTACAAGATATCACTAGGTATTACAAATCAATGAAGGTGTCATTCTCATTTAATATACAGAAAGTAAATGTTATTACGTGGGCTTCCTGTGGAAGTCCACGTCTTATAAGACAAAACTAGACGCCCCTGGGGCGTGAAGTCGGACTTGCTATTTTTGAAAATTGATAGACACGAGTGAAAAGATTTATGATGTTATATTCTGTCTAATCATATGATTATATTATGAATGTAAATGAACMTTGAGAAAGACAGGAGGATATTACATAAATAAAAATTAGATTAAAATATACTATATTTCTTAATTTTTCTCCAAAAAAAGCCGAACTCACGGTCTAATAAGAGCGTCTAGTTCAAAATATCCAAACTCTCTTGAGACTAAAATAAACTTGACCTGAAATGTCATGTAATTAATACATCTATGAACGTTTTAAATGAGTCCTTGCTTTGACTGATAATCAAACATGGTATGCGGATAACGCTAAGTGATAACGTTGACCTCTCAGGCCAAGAAAATACTTTACAAAGTAAATGATACTATGAAATCATTAAACTCGCCTTTTTTTTACTGAACTAGGCTCAAACAAATGTCTCGCTAAGTGATATCATGATGACCTCTCAGGCAAAGAAAATAAAAACTTTACAAGGAAAAAGATGCCTATAAAATCATTAAATTCGCCTTTCTGTTTTTGATAAACAAAGTTTCTTCTTATTCTAATTTGAAATCTTTGCCCCCACAAGACTGTCTAACACTAGAAAGGATATTGATTATTCAGTTTTGTAAGCATACAACTCGAAACTCTATGCGATCTGCACATGCGCGTACTTCTAATGCCTAGACAGAGGCATTCCGATGAGATCACAGATACCACATTTGTAAACGAATAGTTTTTT